CTGGGAGAGGGGGGTGGGCGCTGTTAAACCCTAGCACATGGGCGAGAAGCCGTGCATGTGTGACGAGTGCGGCAAGACGTTTTTCTCACGCTCGGCCTACAAGTATATATATTTTTCTATTCCACTTGTGTGTAAATCTGTGTATACCCCGGATATTTTAGAGATGGCAATTCTCCTGCTGTGTGTCCTACTGCTGTCCCTCCCGGCCATATCTAGTGTCACACTCAACTCTACAAACGGCTACCCTCGTTATTTTGCGTCAATACTTGTTGCTCGATTTGCCACTACACCTGCAAATGAAACAGCTCATAGACACTTCTACACTCCATCATTGTATCCTTTTAAACCCTATCTTTGTCCCATTACTTCACCAGCACTCCTTCCAAACTTCATTTTGCTCTTAAAAATAACACCATCTGCGAGCTGCTGCTATTCGTCCAAGGTTCGCCGCTCTTCATCCTTTCACAGAAAATACTTATGCAAACTGTTAATTCTACATTTCTTATTCCTGGGTGGTATTGAGCTTCATCCAGGCCCAAATGAAAAGAGCTCGTATAATTCTGTAGATTTTTCTGGCAGGAAAGGTGTTGGTGTTCTACATATCAACATCAGAGGGCTTGTGATTAAATTAAGTCAACTAAAACTAGAAGTGGCAAATCTTGATCCGGACATTTTTTGCCTAACAGAAACATTTCTCACTCCTGCCGTCAATAACTTGCAGATTACGATTGAAAACTACAACCTTTTTCGGCTTGACTGAGGATCTAAAGGAGGTGGAATTGCCATCTATGTTCGTAACACTATTGCATGTTCACCAGCTCACTCTTTGTTTAAAAAATGTTGCTTTGAAGGTCTGGCTCTCAGAATAACTCTCCCAAATAATCAACAGATATTGGTAGTGTGCTGCTATAGACCGCCTTGTGGGAAGGATGTTGAAGCTGCATCGGCACTGAGAGAGCTTTTTGGGGGCCTCCCTAAAGGTGAAATAATTTTAGTGGGTGATCTAAATTGGAATTGGCTAAACCTGCCGGCCGTGGCCACAAATTTTACAAATGAATTTAACTTGTTTCAATTAATAAATGTCCCCACAAGACCCAACCTAAAAAATCCGGGACAGTCAACTCTGCTTGACGTCCTATTGACAAATGCCCCTCACAATTTCGCACTGACTGGTGTTCTGGGTAATAACCTTAGTGATCACTCCTTCATTTTTGGTGTGAGATCATCAGCCAGACCCAAAGCCCCCCTAAAATTGTTGAGAAGCACTCTTTGAGGCACTTCAGCACTCAGGCATTTACAAATGATGTGCTTCACTCGGATATTGATAAGGTCTGTGATATACCCAACCTGACTACGGCTTGGGAGACTTTCAGGTACACATTTCTCCAAATTCTTAACAAACATGCTCCGTTGGTTAGATTTAAAACTAAAGGCAACCGCCCACCATGGTATGATCCTTTGATTACAAAGCTCATGAAAACTAGGGACAAGGCTTGGGCATGTGCTCAGAAAAGTAATTTGGTAAATGACTGGCTAGAAAACAGGATTTTAAGGAATAGATGCGTAAAAAATACGGCATGCAAAAAATGCCTATTTTTCCTCCACTCTCCTGGAATCACATGGAAATGCCAGGATTTTTTGGAAAACAATCAAATCTATCGAAAAGGCATCCAAAACAGAAAATCTGCCCGTTGAGCTTCACCGAAATGGGGAATATTTTTCAGATCCCAAAAAAATAGTTGACAATTTTAACCTTCATTTTTCTGAAGCTGGTAATCTTTTTGATAATGTATTGGGAGTCACCCCTGCTCCTGCAAATTCCTACACCCCTGTCCAAACATTAAACGAATTTAGTTTCCAACCAATCCACGAAAGTAATGTTCTGAAACAACTGTCCTACCTCAAAGGGTCCTCCTCTACCGGAGCAGATAGTTTTCCCGTCTTTGCTCTACTGTTGGTCACCTAATATACAAACCTATAGCCCATATTTTCAACCTGTCCATCAAAGAAGCATCAGTTCCTCTAGAATGGAAACATTCCTATGTCCGCCCACTTCACAAAGGGGGCCCTAAAGATGATCCCAATAACTACCGACCTATCTCAATTTTGTCCCCATTGATGAAAATTTTTGAAAAATTATTGAACTACCAAATTAGCAGTTTCCTGTCCACCAACAATCTACTACATCTAAAACAATCTGGGTTCCGGAAAAAATACAGCACCACATCTGCTGCATTAGACTCTTTGAATCAAATTTACAATAGCCTTGATAATAAGCAGTACTGTGTCTGTCTTTTTCTTGACCTGTCCAAAGCTTTTGATACAGTTGACCACAACACCCTGCTTAGTAAACTAAGTTGCCTCGGTTTTTCCGAGAACACAGTACAATGGTTAAAAAATTACCTCTTTTCTCGCACCCAAACTGTATTCACAGATGGTTGGAGGTCAAACAGTGTTAAGATAACAAAAGGGGTTCCACAGGGTTCCATCCTCGGCCCCCTCTTGCTCTCTCTTTATGTCAATGACTTGGGCACTGAACTGGATCATTCCAGGGTAAATCTTTTTGCAGATGACACGATACTGATTACTGCTGGCCGCTCTCCGGATGACGTGATTGCTAAGCTCCAGGGTGATTTCAACAAACTACAACATCAGCTAGTTTCTCTTAAACTAGTCCTGAATACCTCCAAAACCAAGGTGCTATGCTTCTCTCCGGGACTAAAGCAGGAAGTTATTTTTCCCCAATTACATTCCTTGAATAATTATCAAATAGAGCAAGTCAAGATCTATAAGTATCTTGGGGTCATCCTGGATTCAAAACTTAGTTTTGAAGATCACATTGATTATATTGGTAAAAAGACAAAAATAAAAATTGGTTTTCTGTATCGACACAAGCACTGCTTCCCCCCAATGTTCCGTTTGGAATTGATAAAAGCTACCATACTGCCTCTACTTGACTACTGTGACATCGTGTATAAATCAGCCCCAAGTACTGTACTGAAGAAGCTTAATTCCATCTATCACTCGGCCTTAAGATTTGCATTGAACTGCCCATATAGGACTCACCACTGTGATCTCTACATTGAGTCAAACTTAACATCTCTTAATGTTCGACGGCTTGTGCACCAGATCTTATTTATTCACGATGTCCTTACAAAAAATTCCGCAGACTACCTACTGGATCTCCTCTCTGTTTCAAAGAACAAATATGACCTCAGGTCTTCGCTCATTTACCAGCTTCACATTCCCTATTGCCGTACAAAAACTGGAGGAAGGTCCTTTGCTATTGATGCCCCCAGGGTCTGGAATGCTATTGCCAATAAACTGCAACTTGAATCACTACCTATGAGATCTTCACTCAAAACTGCTCTAGAGGAGTTGTACAACCCTAGCTGCCACTGCTATTCAGTGGCCTAAAATATGGGTCTAGATTTTGGTGTTATAATTTATTTATGTAGTTTATTGTTAAAAATTCGGTCACAGTCCCTATGATCACTGTTACATTGGATTCATGGCTTTTATTTTGGTGATTTTCGAAAAGTTTTTTTTTGTTTTGGCCATGTTTTTGTTTATAGTAGTACGGAGTTAGACTGATGGCCTTAATCTTAGTTGTCTTGTGGTTGTTGTTGTTATTTGACTTGCATCCCACTGGGATTTTTGCACACAGCATTGGTGTACGGTGCTATTTTAGGAATATTTTGATATTTTTTTCCTGTATTTTCTGTTTGCACAGTCACATAACCACTGTAAGATATTTTCTTGTTCATGTTTTTGTTTGTTGCGGTTGCACCCGATTCAAGAGCCGAATGGCTCACAGGGCTATACCAAATAAATGAACTATGAACTATGTCCTAGTTCGACAAAATCTACGTCAACACGTAATACAAAACTACAATTCGTGTTGCAGAGAATGAACCTCCTCTACGTGTAACCTTTGAGTGGTATGCCACGTAACTGATTAATGATCCGAGTGTTCTCCCTATTTCAAAGACAATGAGTTGCTCCAGAGGGAGATGCTTCCTGAAAACACAAAAATACCCTTGTTTGGTTCTTTCCTCCAGACAGTCTCATCCCTTCACCTGATGAAGGCCACTTGTGTTGTGGCCGAAACGTCGTGAGAATTTTATTGCGTGATTTTATTTTATCAATTTATTATTTTATTCTCATTCTACGTGGTGACTTTACCTAAAGAACCAAAGAAGATGAATCCTTGCAGTCACGAAAGCTTTAAATCGAAAAACAAAAATACCCTTTGACCTGTATCACAATAACAATGAGTCTCACCTGAGTAAGCTGTACAGGTTACTTCCATAACACACACTTTGTCCTAACATCACTTATTCAATGTTTGACCCTTACAGACAAAATGTTACATGTACGCACACAATCAGACAAGTATTAATTCTAAATTATTGACAGGCATATTAACAAAATTGAATTACTGCACTGAAATATACTGCATCAGGTTACATCGCATTAACATGAAGCTATTTTTAAAAATACGCACCGTCTGCTTAACAGTGTATGTACAACGTGCTATTGTATTGTCATTCAAAACGAGTAGGCCATTGCATGCTGGCGTCTGGGTCAAAATTGCTCAAATTCTAAACATTACCTACAAACTCCACAACTAAGATGCCACATCAATCATCGCCCCCTACTGACAGGCTCTTGTCCACATGCAGGCCGGTGCAGGGCCACCACCTTGTGCCACACAGGGGCAGCTGCTACTTGGGGATGCTCTTCAAGTGTTTGAGACGAGATACAAAACTCCGAATTGCCAGAGGCGATTAAGCAAGCACCATATAAATGGATTTTAAAACCGAGTGAATGCTTGGGAGCTTATTGGCTCTCGCTCCTGGTTCGAGATCTACCCAACCCACAGGTCCACAAAAACTGGCCGCTCTAACCATGCAGGTTTAACCTAGGAACTGAGTGTCCAACTTCACATTCTTGTCATTAAAGGCCTGTGACAAAGGTGCATCCATTGGAGCGACCAGAGTGGAGTCGGCTCCGGGAGAGGCAACCACCTTGCCCCACGGCGCTCCTCCACTTCGAGGTCTGCGGAGTACTTCGCCACCACCACCACCACCAGCGTGGCGATCTTCACGGCTGTGCTCACTTTGGTTCTGCTGCTATCGCAGCCAGTGGTGGAACTCCTCGGAGGATCTCGGCGTGGGGGTTCGAACATCAACGGCTCCAACACCACCACCACCACCACCACGATCAACAACTACTCGGGACTCGTGAAGGACGTCTCTCCACCGGCAGCGGTCGCCACCTGGGGACCGATGTTCACCAGTGCCAGGACATAGTGGACAGCGTGCTCCCTGCTCTACTGCAGGCTATGGGTCAGCTGAGCGGCAGCTGCCAGGACATAGTGGACAGCGTGCTCCCTGCCCTGCTCCACGTCGTGCGTCAGCTGTACAGCGGCTGCAAGGAGGCCATCGGCTCCACCGTGCCGCTGAACACCCCGCACATCGCCGTGCGTCTCCGGCGTTTCGTACGTCGCAGAGTTGAGTGAGCAACATCCATCGTCGTCGTCACCATCAGCCACGGTCAATCCACTAGCGGGTAGAGACCTCCCCCGTGCCGTCGCCACCTCCCACGATGCCGCTGTGCGGTGATCCACCCAGCGCCTGACACGTGGAGCGATTTCATTGCTTGATCTCCCCACTGGGCATCCTCTCGGATGACCCCCTCGCCGCCCATCGGCATCTCTCGCCCCCTTCGCGCCCTCCACCGTCACCCTCAACTCTACTCGCGGTTAAATTTTGATTTAAAGCTTTTGTGATTGCAGTAATTCATATTCTTAGCTCTTCCGGTAAAGTCATGTTGAAGGGAAACAATAAAATAAATATATATAAAAAATATAAATTCTCACGACGTTTCGACACACCTGAAGACGACCGTTTGTGTTATGGTCGAAACGTCATGAGAATTTTTATTGTTTTATATATATTTTATTATTTTGTTTCCCTTCAACGTGACTTTACCGAAAGAGCTAAGAATATCCACTCACGGTGTTTTCAACAGCCTGGTTGGGCACTGGAACGATATCCCGGACAGTACCGGATTAAGCTCGTGCGGGTCCTGTGGCATATATTATAATGGTGCCCAAAATAAAATAAAAAAACACAATTATTAAAACGCAAAGTTTACACATCTACCGGGTCTCCACTTGACTTTGGATTGTCTCGGAGGAAGTCCACCCACACCTCCACTTCCACAAACTGCTGGGAGTTGCCTCGCTCTGCCTCACAGTCAGAAATCTCCTCCTGCTTCACGTTGCCTCTGTCGATGTGAAGGTCCCATTTTGGAGTTGAATCTTCATCTTCACATTTCACCTTCACTCCTTTGCTCTTCACTTCTTCACATTTCACCATCACCTCTTCATGTTTCACCCCGATACCTTTAAAAGTGTCCAAGCTGGGATTTTCTTCCGGTTCTTGTTTCATGAGGGATGGGCTCATGGTGGCACTTTGACTTTCACAAGCTGATTTCAGACTCCACTCCTTGTGGATCTTCTGATGCTTCTGTGTTCTCTGGTGTACTTGAAGTTGTTGTTGCTGTGCAAACGTTATCCCGCACGGAGTGCACCTGAAGGGTTTCTCTCCTGTGTGTGTTCTCTGGTGTACTACAAGAGTAGATGAATGTGCAAACGCCTTCACGCACATACTGCACTTGAAGGGTTTCTCTCCCGTGTGTGTTCTCTGGTGTTCTACAAGAAGAGATGAACGTGGAAACGCCTTCATGCACACAC